CCATTTCCCACTCTCCTCCTACACTGTTTCTAGTATTTGTAATTTGTCTCCATCCTTCTGTTTCTTCCAATCTTTCCATTTCTGCCATACAGTGTAGATATTCAGTATATATTAACTGGGGATGTACAATGCCTCTCTTTTGTAGTCTGGATTGCTTCACTTAGCGATAAATCAGTCTAGGAATGTCTTTGTCCATGAGGTGTGTTTCTTGTAAGTAAGATATAGAAAGTTCCTTTTTGTTTATCCATTCAGCCAATCTGTGCCTTTTAATTGGGGAATTTAGTCCATTAACATGCAACATTATTATTGATACATATGAACTTATCCTTGTCATTTTCTTAGTTATTTTGTGTTCTCTTGTTTCTGTTTGTCTCCCTTTAAGTTTCTTGATTTAATATTCCCTTAAGTATTTCTTGAAGAGGTGATCTACAACTGGTGAATTCTTTCAGTTCTTTATCTGAGAATGATTTTATTACTCTTTCCATTTGAAGAATAATCTTGATGGGTATAGTATTCTAGGTTAAATTTTTTTCTTTCAATTCTAAATATCTCTTCCCATTTTGTCCTTGCCTGTGTTGTTTCTGCTGAGAGGTCTGAGGTTAGCTTAATGGAATAATCTTTCTAAGTAACTTGGTGTTTTTCTCTTGCCATTTTTAGAATATTGTCTTTGTCTTTTTTTTTTTTCCCAATTTGGCTATGATGTGTCTTGAGGAAGATTATCTTATTATGACTCTGCTTGGTCTTTGCTGTATTTTCTGGATTTGGATGTCTGTATTATCTTTCTAGATTTGGAAAGTTTTCAGACAGTATTTCATGAAATAGATTTTCTATGCCTTTGCTCTTCTCTTCACCTTCTGGAATATCTATTTTGCAGCCATTTGGCCACTTAATGGCATCTAAAATTTCCCATATTTTATCCTCTTTTTTGATGGTTATCTTTTCATTCTTCTGGTGACTTGGGTCAAGTCAGAGGTTTTGCCTTCAGGTCAGAGATTCCTTTTAGTTCAACTCCCAAGGGGAATGTCCATGCCACAATTCATTCTCCTCTTGTGATTTTGAGCATACATGCGCATGTGTCTGGCATGTCTTTCAAGTCTCCATGTCCAGATCTTGAACCATGCAGTCAACCATGTGAAATCCAGCCACCTTAACCATCACGTCACCTGGTTGGCCCACAAGAGAGATTTTTCTTTTAGAATTATTTATTTAATTTTATTTATTATTATTTTAGTTTGCTGCAGGGCATGGCATGTGCGCTCACTGGAGAGAGAGACAGCAAAAGAGAGAGAGAGGGAGAGAGAGAGAAAGTGAGACAATACACCACCAAGTCCAGTACTGGAACCATGGTTAGCCATGTGGGCATTCAGCGCCTTAACCATCATACCACCTGCTGACCCCTCAAGAAAGATTTTAATTTCCTGTATTGTATTCTTCATCTCCAGAAGTTCTGTTTCATTCTTTTTAAGAGCATCTATCATTTCTTTCTATAATTCCTGTCTCATGTCATGTAATAATTTTCTCATCTCTTGGAATTGAGTATCTGTTTTCTTTTGCATCTCATTGAATAATGTTATAATGAATATTTTGGATTCTTTCTCCAACATTTTTGATTTCCTGAATTTTTTTCTATTGTGAATGAGGAGTTATTTTTGAGGAGTTGTTTTGAGGAGATATTTCCTTGCTTTTTTAATATTTCTAATATCTCTGTAATGATTTCTTGGTATCTGGTAGAGATTTTACTTCTCTCTATTTGTTAGATTCAGTAATGTTAGAGGGAAATGGACAGCTCTAAGTCCCTAGTGTGCCTCCAACAAAGTGGTCCAGAGTGGGTCAGAAGTTATCTTTCAGCATATATTTTCAGTGGGGAGTTTCTCTTGTTTTTCTCCCCTGAAGAGGATGTGGTGGAGGAAGGAGGGGAGAGCTTCTCTGGAGTCTCGCTGACTTTAGGTGGTTGACTGCTCTTTATACTTTCAAGTAGAAATTATGTGTTTCAGAGGTTCCTATTATGTTTTATCTGTACTTCAACAGACTCAAAATTCACTTTTGAGGTGTTTAATAGTATTTCTTTCCTGAGAGATGCTAAGGTTGGTATTTCTAGTCAGCTTTCTTGCTCCTGACCCTCAAGTAGGATAATGGTAGAGATGCTTGTGCTACTCTTCCTGATGGGTCTCAGCCTTGGGCTCTGGTGTCTTGGTCTCACCAGTTTCTGCAACTAACGCTGACCCAGACACCTCTCACCACCTCTGGTGGGCACTTCTGGCTCCCGGTCATAACACAGTCTGTTTAAACTTTTTCAGGCTTGCAGTTGCAGATGTCTGTGGTGGGGGGAGGGGGGTGACAGTTGACTTTTTGGGGAATAGCTCAATTTCTGAACCTCTGGGCTTGGAAGCTGGGTCAAGCCACAGATTTTTCAGTGGCTGGATGGGGAGGCAACAGCTGCCTCCCCAGTGATTATCTCCAGTCCCAGACCCTGGGGCCCGGTGGCAGTCATCCCACTGCCTGCGAGTCTCTCTGAGGCTTGCAGCTCTAGCAGTGTCTAGAGGGTAGGAGGGTAGGGAAGGAGGTATGTTTTACCTGTTAGGTGAATAATTCAGTTCCCAGGACCATGAGTCCCAGAGGTGGGCCTGTGCCTCTGCTTGCATGTCACTCTCAGACTCAGGGCTCCAGTGGTGTCCAGGGTAAAATACCAGAGCTGCTTCCCTGGCAGATATCTGAGTTCTTGGACCTTGGGTCCCAGCAGTGGGACTGTTCAGCTCCAGCACCACCTGGGATAGAGGGCCACTACTGTCTCCCTGGTGAATGTTTTCATTTCTAGTCCCTGGGTCCCAGCAGTGGGGCAAGCTGCAGTTTGATAGTGTCAGGATCTCCTCTTCAACAATGTCTGAGGGTGAGGGGTAACTATTACCTTCCTAGCAAATATCACAGTTCTTGACCTTGGGACCCAATAGTAGAGCTGCATGATTGGGTCCAGCGCAGCAGGCAAAGACAGCAAGGCTGTATGCCTAGTTGCAGCCATTCCTGGTGGCTTCTTCCTAAGGTGGACCTTAAGCATTTCTCTAGATGGGAGGGATGGCAGGTGACATTGTGGTTAAGGGTGTTGGACTCCCACATGGCCAACTGTGGTTTGAGTCCTGGACCTGGCAGCTTGGTTTCTCACTTTCTCTCTCTCTCTCACTCTGTCCCTCTCTGGTAAAATTAAAATAAACAAATAAAGTTAAATAAAATAATTCTTAAAATAATTCTTTAGATGGGGACTAGTAGGTGGTGTGATGGTTGCATTGCTGGACTCTCAGATGGTTGACCACAGTTCAAGTCCTGGACTCAGCATCTTAAATATCATGCTGGGCATGTATGTGTGCATGCCCAAAATTCCAAGAAGAGAGTGGAGGAGAAGAGATTGCAGTGTGACCATTACCAATGGGGGGGGATTTCTCACTTTCTGTCTTTCTGTCTCTGTCTTTCTGGTGAGCACATGTGGCCTATAACAAAAATCTCTCTAAAAAAAGAAAATCCTCAAGGTACACATTAAGCCTGTACAATGAGAAGCACCAGAGCTGGTGGCAACAACCACAGCCCCAGTGGTTTCCCACCTGTCAAATCCAAACCTCCTGTTCACATGTCTCCATATAGACATTCACACACTCTCCTACATGAACATACATTCACTCTCACACATGCTTGCTTAGACACACACCTACATATTCACAGCCATTTTCCTGGAAGTCCTAAATAAACTTTTTTTTTTTTGAGAGGATTTTTGCTGTAGGGTGCGTGAGCTCACCAGATAGACAGAAAGAGACAGAGAGACAGAAAGCGAGAAATCACCCTCCGGGGGAATGGCCACACCGCAATCCCTTCTCCTCCATTCTCCTATCAGGATCTTGGGCACACACGCACATGCACCCGGCGTGAGTTTTAAGCCACCAGGTCCGGGACTTGAACCGCGGTCGACTGTATGGGAGTCCAGCGACATAGCCATTACGCTAACTGCTGGTCCCCTAAATAAACTTTTAAGAGGCATGCAGATACACTACTTCCCTAGTAAAGGAAGGCCATAGATTGTATCCACTAAGAGCAGTTCTTGCCTAGATGCAAATGGATATCCTCAAGAGCTGTGCTCCAGAGCTTGCATGGTAGGAGATGATGATATCATCAGTAGAACCTAAGTTTAAGATAATTCTGCAAAAAGCTATTGAGCATCTACTCTATTCTGGGGACGGTTTTAAATACAGAGTATATGGTGGTGAATAAAGCTGACAATGTTAGTCTTTCAGGGGATTTCTACTAATGCTGCCATAATATATCAGCATATAATGTTTTGTGGAGATCTGTATGTGGTTCAGAATATACTGTCTGGAGGCCTTTGAGCTGGTGTTGTTCATAATTGCTAGTTTCTAAAACAGGTTGGGGATAGGTGTAAGACACTGTTTTACATAGACCAGGGTATCAGAAGAAGTGGAAAAATTTGATGTGTTTTATTCTCTTATATGGAAATGGTCGAGAGAGCAAGCAATGGTTTGTATGCAAGCTGAAATTGTCAAGCACCAACTGGATGGTTTAGTCTGGCTCTCCAGAGTAGCCTGTGTCTACAGGTAGTTCTGAGCTGACCTTGGCTTATTCATTTGTGAAGAAGGCACTTCTCCCAGAAGGTAGGTCTGTTTTTTGGCCTCAATGTTCTCCCCCTTTCAATTTCTGATACTCTCATTTACTCATGTTATTTCGTATTTTTTTCCTATTTGTAAGAGAAGGCCCCTTTCAGCACTTTGTGGAGTTGTGTCATGTTGTTCCCTGAACACTGATTAGATAAGGCTCCTCAGCTGGCTTTCAGAAGAGCACAGTACTGTTGTTGACCTTCAGAAGTTCCAGGGCTTCCTGGGGGCCTCAGGGAGAGTATGTACTTGGTTGGAACAAACTGCTTACCCCCAAGGATGCCGCTCATCGAAACTATAGCCAAGCCACGTGGTAAATAATGCCAGTGACATTTTGCATTTGGTCTGCAGCTATCACCTGTGTCACTCACAATGGAAGAAATGAAGAAGACAGCTGTCCGGAGGCCCAGAGGTAGGCAGAGGCCTGTAAAGACTGAATGGAATTCCCGGTGTGTCCTCCTTACCTATTTCCAAGGGGACATCAGCAGCGTAGTGGATGAGCACTTCTCCAGAGCTCTGGGCAATATCAAGAGACCCCATGGATTGAGCCCTTTGAGCCAGCATGAAGATGTGATCCTAAGGAATGGTAAGCATGCTGGGAGGGAGGAGGCTGGAATTCTCTTTCAAAGCTAGTATTGAAAGACCAGTTCTTGGATGTACTTGATACACTTGGACTTAGGTATATTTGACAAAGGTAAATCATACTGTCTAGTGAGAAGTTGCAACTTCTTAGAACTTTAATGTAAAACTGAGCACGGTTGGAGTCAAATCACTTCAACTGCTTCATTATTTCCACACTCATGTTAAATACTGTGTTCACTGCTCAGCACACAGTGAGAGCTCCACAACTATTCACTATTATTGTCATTATCAGCGCTATTATTATTACTATTACTAATGGCCCGAGGGCAGAAACACTGCCGGACTTATGGTAAGATACAACATGTCCCATGTAGGTACTCCCAGCCTCCTCTCCATGAATAGTGGATGATATGGTAAACATGAGCTGGGGACCAGAACGAAGTGGATGAAGAGTCTAGCCACATTTCTCTCCCGTTCTTCAGAGCGTCAGAAGTGTCTATTGCATATTATTTGATAAGTTTTAAGACATAAATATTTTTACATATCAAAGCAGTTACTTCAAGAGAAAATGTGCACATCAAATTGACCAGGTTGAAGAAAGCCATAAACATTAAGTGGGCAGAGGTCACAGTGTGGCTTTCATGGATGCTAGCCACTTTTGCCTTCATGGGCCTTTTCCTCCATAAAAATGTTAAAAATTACTGTGAATTACAGTGGCTGTGTTAGTAAAATGGTGAATATAATCCAGGCTGGATTCATTTTTTTTAAGTGTTCAATACCATTTCTATATCTATGTTCTTCTTCTGATTTGAAAACAATGTAAAACCTTTTGTGGGCTTCTGAAAGTATTCACAGTCCCTAAGATCTGTGCTTCTTCTGCTTAATGGGGAAGTCACCCCTGCCAGCTGCATGTGACTCAATATGGCTTCCCTTTACCTTTTAGAAATTTTCCAGTGAACCAAAATCCGGTTCATTTAAAAGCCACTTATTGTTGTTTCTGAGTGTACATGTTGCTCTCATTAGAGGACATACCCACTTCCAAGTCGGGGGCTCTTTGTAAAACAGACAAGTGGAGCCTATGACTGCAGGAGAAAAGCTCACGTGTTTCCAGGTGCCATCACTCTGGATTTGTTCTTTGAGTCTGGACAAGGCATTGTTGTGTATCTGATGTGCTCACTTTTGCCAAATTTACTTCTTGCATAGACATTATTTTTCCAGTCAAGTGATAATGATTTTTCTTAAAAAAAAAAAATCTTGTGGGTTAAGTAAACATGTGGAAGGGTATGTGGTAGCAGCAGATACGAAAGGAAATAGGTGGTAAACTGTGAGGTAGTGGGTGAATAGCAGGGATGTGATGTCCAAGAGTATAATAAATAATCTCAGCAGGACCAGGAATGACTGTGTTCTTGAGTCAAGTGAAAATTGCCATGTGGTAAGAGCTGAGAAACATGGTATGCAGGGTTCATCAGATCTAACTTGCTCCTCAGAAGGGTCAAGATACCAGGTATTTAATGCCTGGAGAAGTGTGCCGACTTTGGCTATTTGACTCTGATTTGTTTTTGAACACATTGGCTTGGATTCACAACACTCATTCCCTTGTAAGCACCATCAGAACATGGCCCCTTACTTTTTCTATTCTACTTGCCTAGTAAGACCCAAGTTGGGATAAAAATTATTCTCGGGGTCAGCAGATGGTATAATGGCTACATCTCTGGACTCCCATGTAGTCAACCACAGTTCGAGTCCCGGACCCTTGCATGTGACTCAATATGGCTCCCCTTTACCTTTTAGAAATTTTCCAGTGAACCAAAATCCGGTTCATTTAAAAGCCACTTATTGTTGTTTCTGAGTGTACATGTTGCTCTCATTAGAGGACATACCCACTTCCAAGTCGGGGGCTCTTTGTAAAACAGACAAGTGGAGCCTATGACTGCAGGAGAAAAGCTCACGTGTTTCCAGGTGCCATCACTCTGGATTTGTTCTTTGAGTCTGGACAAGGCATTGTTGTGTATCTGATGTGCTCACTTTTGCCAAATTTACTTCTTGCATAGACATTATTTTTCCAGTCAAGTGATAATGATTTTTCTTAAAAAAAAAAAATCTTGTGGGTTAAGTAAACATGTGGAAGGGTATGTGGTAGCAGCAGATACGAAAGGAAATAGGTGGTAAACTGTGAGGTAGTGGGTGAATAGCAGGGATGTGATGTCCAAGAGTATAATAAATAATCTCAGCAGGACCAGGAATGACTGTGTTCTTGAGTCAAGTGAAAATTGCCATGTGGTAAGAGCTGAGAAACATGGTATGCAGGGTTCATCAGATCTAACTTGCTCCTCAGAAGGGTCAAGATACCAGGTATTTAATGCCTGGAGAAGTGTGCCGACTTTGGCTATTTGACTCTGATTTGTTTTTGAACACATTGGCTTGGATTCACAACACTCATTCCCTTGTAAGCACCATCAGAACATGGCCCCTTACTTTTTCTATTCTACTTGCCTAGTAAGACCCAAGTTGGGATAAAAATTATTCTCGGGGTCAGCAGATGGTATAATGGCTACATCTCTGGACTCCCATGTAGTCAACCACAGTTCGAGTCCCGGACCCTGTGGCTTAAGCTCACACTGGGCACGTGTGTGTGCATACCCAATATCCTAAGAGAATGGAGGAGAAGGGATTGCAGCATGGCCACCCCCTCCTTGGGGGGTGATTGCTTGCTTTCTGTCTCTCTCTGTCTTTTTGGTGAGCACACGCGCCCTATGGCAAAAACCTCTCCAAAAATAAAAAATAAATAAAAAAATAATAAGTGACTCTCGGCTATTGCCACATTTCTCTGCTTTATTTTGCAACACAACCTAAAAATGGTATTCATGCACACCTTGTCTTCTTCCCCACCTCTCCAGCTCCCTAGACTCCACCGTACTCAGGCTTTCATCCTCATTACGCCTTAAAGCTACTCTTTTTGTTTTCTTAGAAAATATTAATTTAATTTATTATTATTAAACTTGGTATAGTCATCAGAGAGAGAGAGAAAGAGAAAGTGAGAAAGAGCAAGCCACCAGGTCTGGGACTCACACTGTGGTCATCCACATGGGAGTCCAGTGTCCTAACCATCACACCACCTGCTGGCCCCAAAGCTACTCTCATCAAGGTTAGCTAGTGACCTCCACTTTCCAAATCCAATATCCATCTTTGTCCTCATCATATGTGACCTATTAGTAACATTTGTTGTAGTGGATTGCTCTTTTTCCCTGGAAAAATTCCCTTCACTTATATTCCATAACATCACACTGTCTTGGTTTTCCTTTGACTTATTTTCCTTCTCCCTCGTGATTGCTCCTTCTCATTCTCCTTTGCCAAATGTCCTCCTCTCTTCAACTTTCACCAGCCTTCAGCCAGTCTTGAATCATGGGCACCCATGTGCCTGGTATGTTCAGAGAGATCTCCAGACTTGAGCTAAGAACCTTATCATGTGGGATTGCCTCACTGAGCATCGTATTTTACCACTGCATCATCATTCAACCTCCCAAACTGAACCTTTAATTGCCTGCTCAACCTGCTTGGTGCACATGGATGCCATCTTGATAAATGGCAACTGTAGCCTTCCAATTATTTGGAATCATGATTAACTCCTTTCTTTGCTTCGCAGCCTACATTCAATCTTTTGGGAAAGTCTTCAGTTTCCACTTTCAAAATAATATCCAAGATCTAACCATGTCTCACCACCTCTGCTGCCATCCCCTTAGTCTGAGAAGCTATAGTCTCCCTGCTAGATTATTGCAATAACCTCCTAACTGGTCTCACTGTTTCTGCTTTTCCTCCCCTTCAGGCTATTCACAATGTAGCAGTCAGAATGATATTATTAAGATGAAAGCTTTATCCTAGCACTTTACTGTTCAAAACCCTTCAATAACTTCCTATGTCACTTAGAACCAAATCTCAAGTCTTTAACAGGTCCTTACCTCATCTGGGCCCCTGCTGTCTTTCTTATCTCATATGCTACCACTTTCCACCTCATCCACTCCCAGGCTCACCTCCTTGCTACTTGTAGAATATGCCAAGCGCAATCCTGCCCCTGGCCTTCCCTTTGCTCTTGGTCTCCCCTCCCCATGGAATGCTATCCCCAGATCTCTGCATCATTTTCCCTATTCCCCTCAGGTCTCCATCTGAATGTCAACTCTTCAGACAAGCCTTCTCTGAACAAAATTTGAACATATAAGCCCCTGCCCTGTCACACTTTCTCTTCTTGCCCTGCTTTATTTTTCTTCTTAGCACTTGTCACCGCTGGACATATTATATGTTCATATGTTTCTTTCTTGACTCCTTCCTCCCCTTAGACTCTGAATTCTATGGCAACAGGGATTCAGTCTGTTTTCCAATTATGTAGTACAATGTCGGACACATGGAAAGCACTCAATAAATATCGCTCAGATGAGTGAATTGTGATTTGGATTGCAGGTTATTGACGCTACAGATGAGATCACCTGCAGATAAGGAGGGAGAACAGTGTGGTGAACGGCTTTAGAACCAGGCAGTCTGGGGCCAGGCCAGCTGCACCACTGATTAATAGTATGATCTCAGGGCGTATCACTGTTCCTCTGTGTGCCTCAGTTTCTTCATCTTTAAAATCAAATATTAAACCATAGGAGGGGGCTTGCAAGGAGTCAATGAGATAATGCACAGTAAGTGGCACATAGCACTATGTAGGTGGTAGTTCTTTTTGTAGAGGTGATACCAAAACTTGTGACACATGTTCATGAGGGGCTAGGCTAGATGTGTGGGCTTACATTCAAAATAGTAGGATTACAAAGCAGCATACCTCTCCCATAAGCCTCAGTGTTTTCAGGCTTCTGTCATGGGGCTGCCATAGTATTTCCTTTGCCTTCCTACTTCACCTTGATTCAGTCATTCTGTGAAGCCCTTACCCACTAAGACAGCTCAAGCATGGCCCTGTTTCTTGCCCAAGCCAGCCTCTGCAGGCCAGATAAAGAGGTGGCTTTCTTCTCCACC